GAAGGTCCCCGATTCTTGCAGGAGTAAAAGGAAAGTCACACTCAGTATTTCACATAATGGGACCTTTCAAGAGGTGTTTTCCAGGAGTGCTTACCATGAACACCAATTCAGCGTATTCGATCAGGAAATGGAAGAGATATATTATCAGTGGGGTCTAAAAGAGAGCAGAAGGAAAACCCATGTCAAATACTGTCCAGATAAAACAACTGGCAGTTTAATGAGAAAAATGGAGTAGTACTATGAGAGATTGAGAAAGGCAATTTTCCTTAGCCTCTTCTACAACGCTGTTACTTTGGAGTAAAGTGATTAAACAAACCACACTTACTGGTCTTTTTCCTTGCAAAGTTCTCAATAGATTTCATAAAAAACACCACCAACTTTGAAAATTATGTTCTATCCCAACTTTTCAATTCTACTAGCATAGTGGTAGAGTTACAGTAGAAAGCATAAAAAGAACAGCTTTAGAAAACAATTGTTTCTAAAGAACCTGTTTTTTCAGGTTGTTTGCAGGTACTTTTGAAAGTATTTCCTACACAGCTGGTTTCATTGTTTACCCTGTTGTTTAGATGAGTCTTTTATAAAGCAAAAAGAAAGCATGTTAAAAACATAAAGTGGTAGGACTATAGTCCTATCATCCTCTTACTCCCACAGCTTTTCCCTTCTAGGATAACAGGAAGAGCATGTTTCTGAATTATTCCCTTGACAGAAAAGCTTAATCTGGAGGTACTATTTACATGGTGTAAATTCAGTCTTCACTGTGAGAAAATACATTTCTTTTGAAATACTTTTAAAATAATGTGACGGTATAAATAAGCACGGGAAAATATTCCACAGAGTCTGGGAGAAAACTGGGTTTAAAGAAGGAGAATTTACTGAAGAGAAACAAGTTTTCAGAGGTATACAAAGTATCTGCCTCACCCTTAGGTGACACTATGTATAAGTGTACCTTCATATCAGTAAGGCCACTCAAGAGCATGAAAATTCCACAGGTGCTTAAGTGTTTGGAGGAACAAGGTGTTTTCAAGATGAGGAATAAATGTACCACATGCGTGTGCTAATGTTAATATTTCTGCAAATACAGAAACTCAAGATGCTGCTATCCAGTAAAATTGTGTTCAGACTCACAATGACACTGTCTCTCCCTCCTCTGGCTTCTGCTGACAGAAACATCTGGATGTGAACACAGTATTTTACTTATTACAGATTTCCCCTATTTCAGACTCTCCTTATGCAGTAATAAATATTATCACGTCTATCATCTGCACAGCAACGAGTTATTCTGTGACAAACTGCATTTCCTCATTGTGCTAGTCACTACATACACAACCATTGCACAGACAACCACATGACTCCAAGTTCTCTGAAGTCTTTGGGACAAGGCAGGTCCTCAGCCTTTCCCAGTCTGTGGGCAATAAGACTAAGAAACATGCCACTTGAGTATCATGTTTAAAATGAAGCATGCATACCGACCTCATGAAAAATAGCTCCAGAATACGGTGAGACCCCTAAATCCAGCAGAGCTAATCCTTCGACCACTGAAACATACAAAACACCTGCATTAGAATCCTGTAATGTGGGAAGAGAAAAATCTCATTATGGTAAAACTATAGTTTTTAAAACACTCATGCTCATAAGAATCTCACATTGACTCACCACGTGAATGCATGATGTAAAGTCTCACAAAGCCAACGACCAGCTAGAATTGATTGTTTTCTTACTTCTGCCATGCAAATTTCTTTAGTAACTGAATGGTCAGTTGTAATCTATTTATTTGTTTCAGCTAAAAATTTTATAGCTGAAATGTTTTGCACTTAACTATATATAAATCACATGTATGGTATTTACTGATTTTAAGTGACCTATTATGTGATACCTGTTATCTACGCTGGAGAAATACTTCATTCTAAGACGACAAATCATGACACAATGTACAATTTGAACTATTTTGCCTAATTAGATGTAGAGAGACCTGAATCATCCAAAACCACAATAAAGAGCAGAAATGAATACATATTACCAGGCAAAGCTAAAAGCTTTATCTGTTGTTAAAACTCCCTGACATTCTGCAGCCTTAATTCAAATCCTTTGCAATGATGTAATTACAGCTTGCACTGCAACATGTGCATATGTTTTTCCATAGGATCTCCACCTTCCTGAGCACAAAGATGCTTTCCCTGCGGACTGAGCAGCATATGCAGTAAAAGAAACTATGGGAAATAGATCCATGTGTTGAGAGGGAGATGAGGCAGGAGACCGCAGGAAGCAACAAAAGGTTCTCAGTTCAGCAATATGCTGGAGACATAGATTATGTCTCTGCCACAAAGCTCCCGTATGATGGCAGCCCAGACTTTTCAAGGTGATCCTAATTGTGCTCCTTACTACCCAGATGCCTACCTTGACATTCTAAGGTAAGATTCAGAAGGTATCAATTACTGCAAGGGAATTTTTGAGAGATGTCTTTTATGAAGTGTGGAGTGCTACGCATTGTGGAGCAGAGGCCTCATCAAATGCATTCAGGCTTTTGACCTTTACTACTCTGTGCCACTGTTTTCCACCCCAAAAGTGCAAATAACTTTATCTGCATAATAACTTGATATTATTTTCCCAGAGGGCTGTCTTTAAAATAAATTAAGGTTCCTAACAGGCTCAGATGCTATAGAGATAAATGCCACCAAAAGCCCTGATTAAACTGTACCTCGGACTTTGGAAGAGACTTTGAATGGTGTTGGTAACAACGTGTGGGGCCACAAACTGAACACGGAAAATGACACAGTGAACAGCTCTGCAGGAACTGGGAACCACGCAGCTGTGTTCACACCACGAGACGGGGCTTGTGCAGTTACAGTGTAATGAAAGTGACTCAATCAAGGCTGCTGCAACTACATATTCAGTGCCAGATTTTGTCATTTTCCATTTTACGTACATCCGTGACACAAGCAGTTTGTACAAGTGCCACCAGAGCAGCTGCACACGATGGTTAAACCCCCGCCCTCCTGCCTTCCATCGCGTGTTCCTCCCATCCCCTTGCAGCTGCAGAACACTCGCGCTTCCCTCGGGGAAAAGCAGACCACTTCATGCCGCCTTCGGCCGGGCCCAGGAGAGAAGGGGCCCGTCCTCAGCCCCGGGG